GAGAACAAAGATAGTTCTAAAAAAAAGATAATAAATTTCTGTTTTTGTTAGTTGCCATTGAGTTGGCTCCAGCTCACGGCAACTCCGTGTACAACAGAATGAAAGAGAACCAAACACAGCCCAGTCCTGCGCCATGTTCACGATCCTTGGTACGTGTGAGCCCACTGTTGAGGCCACTGTGTCAATCCATCTCACTGAGGGTTCCCCTCGTTCTCATGGATCCTCTACTTTACCAACATGATGACCTTTTCTAGCAATTGGTCTTTCCTGATGACATGTCCAAAGTACGTGAGACAAAGTCTCGCCATCCTCCCTTGTAAGGAGCCCTCTAGTTGTATTTCTCCTAAGGCTGATTTGTTTATTCTTCTGGCAGTCCACAATGCATTCAGTATTCTTCAGCAACACCACAGTTCAAATGCATCAGTTTTCATTGATTTCTCACCCATGTCTGGGAGAAAGATGTGGCAGCCTGCTTCCATAAAGATTACAGCCTTGGAAACCCTATGGGGCAGTTCTACTCTGTCCTGTAGGGTCTCTACAAGTCAAAATTGACTCGAAGGCAAAGAGTTTCCCACCAACCTCAGCACACCAAGCTCAGGATGTTTGCTGTCCACAGGGCATGTGGGACACTGGCTGTTCATCTGATACTGTATGACCTTCCAACACCAAGGTCCACGATTCAGATGTGGGCTTTTTCTTCATTAGAGGACATTGCACAGAGAGATTTTACCTTTTCTCATCTTACCTGCAATGACCAATTGGGAAATGCACTATATAAAGAAAAAACCGTTGCCGTTGAGTTGATTCTGACTCATAGCAACCCTGTAGGACAGAGCAGAACTGCCCCACAGGGTTTCCCAGGGGCGACTGGTGGATTTGAACTTCCGACCATTTGGTTAGCAGCTGAGCTCTTAAGCACTGCACCACCAGGGCTGCGTTGTATAGCTTAGCAAAATATAAATCATTTAACGTACATAAATAATGTATCGCTTCCTTCTCCTGCCCAATAAACAATTTTGTCACTAAGTCACTTGTTCCTTGCCGAGACAGTTCCATTCATTATGTACAATTATCAACAGATTCGGGCCACCTTTCCTTTGGAAACATTTACCAGGCGAATGCTAGGGTGTAGGCTAGCCGGAGGGGACAAGCCTTGCCGTGGCTAACGACCCACTTGTATTTTGGGACACTTGACGATGTTGTGATTTATGCCTTTTCAAGAATGCTGATTTTCAAAGCCAGCAAACCAATCTTGGTAATTGGCCTTCATTACTGGCGGGGCGTACATTGCTAAAAGCAAAGAAACTACTCTTTTACAGACAAAAACAGCCGTCTCTCCTCAACCCAAGGGGTCTCAAACGTCAGCCGGTGTCAGAATCACGCGGTGCGCTTGGGGGACTTGAAAAATCATGGTTAATTCAGCAGGCCTGGGGTTGCTGTGGTCGTCAGCTGCTGTCCCGTCACCCCTGACTCATGGCGACCCCAGACACAGTGGAACACAGTGCTGCCCGGTCCTGCGCCGTCCCAATGATCCGTTGCAGATCGGACTGTTGTGATCCACAGGGTTTTCGCTGGCTGATTTTCTGAAGTAGATGGCCAGGTCTTTCTTCCTAGTCTGTCTTAGTCTGGAAGCTCTGCTGTAACCTGTTCAGCATCCTAGCAAATCGTGAGCCTCCACTGACAGAGGGGTGGTGGCTGCACATGAGGTGTACTGGCCAGGAATCGAACCCCGGTCTCCCCCATGGAAAACAAGAATTGTACCCCTGACCCATCACTGGCTGTAGTGCTAAGTTAGCAAGGAGACCAGTAATCCATGTCTGCTCAAATCTATGGACAACTTCTCTTTAAACCTAATGACGCAGCCAGGCGGTCCTGTTGAAAGTTAAGGTTATCGAGAGAATGGCACGGTAACTTGCATTTCTGCCTTCTTCACAGCTGGATTCACCTGGCCAACTGTATGCACCATCCATCTGGGTAACTCCGCTCACTCAGAGGTTTAAAGATCACAGCACGCGGGCTTGTTTCTCTCAGGCGCACAAGCCTCCTCGTAAACGCGGGAAGGCCGCACTTTCTCCTATTGTGACGTCACGTATGGACACACACATGTCTAGATGCTCTTATGGAGTGGTCACGTGGCATTAAATCATTGACCTGAAGTAAAGCAAATCGTTGCCTTGGGCAAATGTGCTGCAGAAGACCTCTTTAAAGTGTTGAAAAGCAAAGACGTCACTCTGAGGACTAAGGTGCGCCTGACCCAAGCCATGGTGTTTTCAATCACCTCATATGCGTGCAAAAGCTGGACCATGAATAAGGAAGACAGAAGAAGGATGGATGCATCTGAATTATGGTGTTGGGGAAGAATATTGAATACACCATGGACTGCCAGAAGAGCAAACAAATCTGTGTTGGAAGAAGTAGAGTCAGAATGCTCCTTGGAAGCGAGGACAGACAGCCTTCATCTCACGTACGCTGGACCTGTTGTCGGGAGGGACTATTACCTGGAGAAGGACATCATCCTTGGTAAAGCAGCGGGTCAGCGAGAAAGAGGAAGACCTTCGACGAGATGCATTAACACAGTGGCTGCAACAATGGGCTCAAGCATAACAACGATTGTGAGGATGGCGCAGGACCGGGCAGTGTTTCGTTCTGTTGTTCGTAGGGTCTCTGTGAGTCGGAACCAAGTCGACGGCATCTAACAACAGCAGGTATATGTATCTCTATATCACCTGTATCTACGTATCACTGGTTCTTTTTCTCTAGAAAACCCTAAGACACCGTCCCGCCAGCCCTGCAGCCATCCTCAGACCACACTGCAGACCCCAGCTTAGAACCGTTTCATTCCATGAAGCAAAGTCTGCACCATCACTGGCATCGACCCACGGAGGCCAGATCGGCTGTAATAGCCTTTATATGGCGGTCGCTCTACGGGACTCCCGAGCAGCTGTCCTTGCTATGGCAGAATGGTCAAACACAGCCCTGTGGACTCCCTGGATCCCGGTCACCATGCAGGAACGCTCTTCTGGAGCCAGAACGACTGCCCTGCACTGAGGTACTGAATTTCTTGGCTGCAGATCATTTGAAAAATGCACCTTTAGCCCACCGCTCTGCAAAGCCCTCCACTGCATCCCACGGATATGCGTATCGTGTGCAAGCGGTTATGAATGCAAGGTCTTTGAAACAGACTTCAGTCTCATAAGGCGTTCCTTCCTTTTAACCAGTTACTCTGGGAATAACGTGCCCTACAGAATAATTCATGCCATTTCTTAGTGTGATGAGTGCCGTTAAAATGCGCCACATGCCTGCGATGTATTAGGGATTTAATGGATTCTGGTGCTTCCGAACATCCTCCTATTTAAAAAAAAAAATACCGGATGTCAAAATGAAGTCAGGCGAAACGGCAGAGGCACAAATCTTGAGCTTAGACGTTAAATGTTTAAACCTTCTGAGAGACAGACGCCAGCAGCAGGAGACCAAGAGGCAGTTGTTCAAACAGAACAAGGGGATATTGTGTGGTTTAAAGTCAGGAAAGGTGTGCGTCAGGGTTGCATCCTTTCACCGTATTTATTCAATCTGTATGCTGAGCAAATAATCCGAGAAGCTGGACTATATGAGGAAAAATGCAGCATCAGATTTTGCTCTTAAGGCCGTGAACTAATTGGATCAGGCCCATCCACATTATCAAGCATCAACTCTTTAACTTAAGGGGCGCTGATTGCAAATGTTAATCCCCAATAGAACGGCTTCACAGTGCCATCGAGGCCACTGCTGGATGAGTAAGTGGGTGCTATGGCCACCCAGGAGCCCTGGTGGCGCAGTGGTTAAAGCGCTCAGCCGCCAACCGAAAGGTTGACAGTTCGAACCCACCAGCCGCTCCACAGAAGAAAAATGTGGCAGTCTGCTTTCATAAAGATTACAGCCTTGGAAACCCTACGGGGCAATTCTACTCTGTCCTGTAAGGTTGCTATGAGTTGGAGTTGACTCGACAGCAGTGGGTTTGGTTTGGTTTGGTTTTTTTTTTTGATAGGTCCCTGAAGGAGCCCTGGTGGCATAGTGGTTAAGCGCTCAGCTGCTAACCGAAGAGTCGGCAGTTTGAGAACCCACCAGCCACTCCACAGGAGAAAGATGTGGAAGTCTGCTTCCGGACAGATTTACAGCCTTGGAAACCCTTATGAGGCAGTTCTACTCTGTCCTATAGGGTTGCTATAAGGCGGGACTGAATTGACAGCAGTGGGTTTACGGCCCACCCCGGTTGAGACACAAAACGACTCGTCACAACGGGCTATTTCTCATGTAGGAGGGACCCCGCTGCCACGACCCTGCTCCCCACAGCAGCCTGCTGGTGTCAGCTCTGCTTGCTCAGAGCAGGGTGGGAACCTCCCACCACAGAAGGAAGGGTGGCTCAACCCTGGCAGCCCAGCCCCTGTACCTGCCGCCTCAAGGTGCCCACACCCAGGGAGGCTTTCCCTCTGGAGAGACCCCCGGAACCCCAGTCCAGGGAGGTGGGGGGGCAGGCCGAGGCATGTGGGCAGGGGCTGATGCTTTCATGGTGAAATGCTACACACACACGTACACACACAGACTCACACACACAGTCACACACACACACGTACAAACTCACAAACACCATCACACACACTCACAAAAACCATGACACACCCACATACAAACTCAAAACAGTCATACCCACTCACACACTCATGCATACAAACTCACAAATACCAGCACACACACACTCATATACACAGTCACAAAGACCGTCACACACACGTACAAACTCACAAACACACACACACACTCACACAGGCACCCCTACAAACTCAGTCACACCCACACGCCCACACGATTCAGTCCACAACCGTGAGGGTCTCAGCCTTCACCTGACGCCCAGCACCACGCCCAGCCCGTCGGGGCATCCAGCAAATGCGGCAGACAAGGAAAGTGAGTACCGGTCACCCGCCTGGCGGGCCGCTACGACCGTTGGCTCGTGCGAGCAGCCTTACCTGCTCTGCAGGTCCTCCATGTTCAGCTCGCCGACGTAATGTGTGGCTGAGGACACAGTGATCACCCTCGCGCAGCGCCCGGGGGACCCCGACTCTTTCAGCGTGTCCAGGAGAAGGTTGGTCAGCAGGAAGTGCCCCAGGTAGTTCAGGCCGAAATGCTCCTCGAAGCCGTCCCTGGTGGTCCGCTGCGGGACCATCATGACCCCGGCTGGGAGGGGTTCAGGACAGCGAGGTTAGATGGCATAGTGGGGCGCCCAACAGCGGGCTCCGGGCGCAGACCCATCCCGGGAGCCAGGAGGTGGGGTCTGGTCCTGGCTGGCATCTCGCCTCTCTGGCGCTCAGTTTCCCACTGTGGATGTAGGGGTGGTGTTGGAGATCACCACGCCCCCTCCCTGCTCTGGAACGCTGCCGTCCTGTGCTTTGAATGTGTGAAATACCAGCGGCCGTGCCACAACGGCAGAACACGCGAGGGAGAGAGAACGTTCTAGACCACCAAGATGTGTCCCTGGCAAAGTCCTTTCCACTGAGTCCCGACCTCACAGATGACTCGTCCCAGAAATGTGCCTGAACACCTTGTCCGGTCACTTAGAGCAGGCCAGCTGGCTTCTTCCTGCTGTTGTTGCCATCAAGTTGATTCTGACTCACGGTGACCCCGTGTGTGCAGAGGACAACTGCCCCATAGGGTTTTCAAGGCTCTGACCTTTTGGAAGCAGATCACCAGGCCTTTCTTCTGAAGCACCTATGAGTGGGTTTGAACTGGAGACCGTCTGGCTACTAATCAAGTGCTTAACCATTTGCAGCACTGCCAGCTTGCTTCGACATACATGTACATATATACATAAATTTAAAAACAAAATCCACTGTCGTCAAGTCGATACCAACTCATAGCGACTCCATAGGGCTTCCAAGGCTATAAATGTCTACGGAAGCAGACTGCCACATCCTTCTCCCAAGGACCCACTGGTGGTTTCAAACTGCCTACCTTTGAGTTAGCAGTTGGTTGATTTAACCACTGCGCCACCAAGGCTCCAAAGTGTATATATATAGATAGATACAGATATATAGATATCGATATAGGGAAACCCTGGTGGCGTAGTGGTTAAGAGCTACGGCTGCTAACCAAAACGTCAGCAGTTCAAATCCACCAGGGGCTCCTTGGAAACCCTATGGGTCAATTCTACTCTGTCCTAGAGGGTTGCTAAGAGTCGGAATCAACTCGACAGCAACAGGTTATGTTTTTGGTTATATATATGACCAAAAGGTCGGCAGTTCGAATCCACCAGCCATTCTGTGGAAACCCTATAGGGCGGTTCTACTCTGCCCTGTAGGGTCGCTATGAGTCAGAATTGACTGGATGGCAATGGTTGTTTTCTTGTGGTTGGCTAGCAGCCGAGCTCTTAACCACTACCACCAGGGCTCCACAGATATATACACATATGTGTGTGTGTGTGTATTTGCGTATGTTTGTGCATGTGTATATAAATGTGTTGTTTTTACATGTATGTGTGGATATGTGTGCATCTGTATGTGCATACGTACGCGTGGAGGTCCCCAGGTGACAGAAACGGTCTGCACTTGACTGCTGGCCTAAAGGCTGGCGGTTCACACTCACCCAGACTCCCCACAGAAGAAAAGGCCCGACAGTCTGCTTCCATAAAGACTACAGCCAAGAAAACCCTATGGTCACTTCTACTCTGTCAGAGACGAGGTCAACATGAGTCGAAACCAATTCAACAGCCACCACCATCACCAACGAGGTATATGTGTACATTTGTGTACGTACGTGTAACTGTGTATGTGTGCATGTGTCTACGTGCACGTGTATATGTGTAGGTGTACGCGTATCTGTATGTGTATTTGCACACGCATCATCTCTGAGTGTGCACGGATACAGGCATATGCATTTGTATACACATGTGTATATGTATTTGTGTGTACCTTGGTATACACATGTTTATGTATTTGTGTATGTATATGGGTATGGTATTCGTATATGTGTATATGTATGGCATATGTATTTGGGTATACATATGGGTATGTGTATGGTATATGTATTTGGGTACATATAAGGTTATGTGTTGGAGCCCTGATGGTGCAGTGGTTAAGAACTCGACTGCTAACCAAAAGGCCGGCAGTTTGAATCCACCAGCCGTTCCTAGGAAACCCTGAGGGGCGGTTCTACTCTGTCCTATACAGTATCTGTGAGTCAGAATCAACTCAACAGCACCTAACAACAATGGGTATGTGTTTGGCGTACGTATTTGTGTACGCACATGGGTACGTGTATGGTATATGTATTTGGGTACGTACATGGGTACGTGTATGGTATATGTATTTGTGTATGTATATGGGTGTGTGTATGGTATATGTATTTGTGTACGTACATGGGTGTGTGTATGGTATATGTATTTGTGTACATATATGGTATATGCATTTGTGTACGTATATAGGTGTGTGTATGGTATATGTATTTGTGTACGTGTATGGGTGTGTGTATGGTATATGCATTTGTGTACGTATATCGGTGTGTGTATGGTATATGTATTTGAGTATGTACGTGGGTACGTGTATGGTATATGTATTTGGGTACGTACATGAGTACATGTATGGTATATGTATTTGTGTATGTATTTGCACACATATCTACATGCACATTTGCATTTTTATATGTATGGCTAAAGACCTACACGCAAGAGATGCCAACAAGGTTCCTGACTACAGGACTTCTCGGGATGGATGTGTCGGTGTGTATTGTTAGTGTCCAAGAGGACAGTAAGTGCCTGCAGAGTTTCCAAAACTATCCGCCCAGGACCCCCCACTCCTACCTCCAAATCCAATTAACCAATCACAGAAAACCACCCGGGCATAAATAAATATCCGCATATCGATTTGTATGTGTCTGCATTTGTACATTATAACAATATGTACTTACACACACGTGAACATGTATGTGCATTCACATGTGTTTATATTCATAAATGCATTTGCATATATATTTACTTATATTTGCACCTGTGTATGTATTTCCATATGCTTCCATTTGTATATGTATTTATATGTATATGTGGCTGCATCTGTACAGTGTATGATTAGCATGTATTTGAAAGTACATGTGTTTAGATTTCCATACGCATGTATGTACATGCATGTGTGGGAATTCACATATATGTGTGTGTTTCTATGTGTATGTATTTTATATGTATATATCTTATGTGCTTGTATACTCATTTCCATATGCAACTGTATTTATACATGTTTACATAAATGTGTTTCTAGATACAATTGTATTTATCCGTTTATGTATACATGTTTGTATACGTGTTTCTACAAGCAATTGCATTTATATATGTGTACGTATACGTATTTGTATATGTTGTCATTTCTGTTGTCAGTTGCCACGGAGTCGGCTCCGACTCATGGCCACCTTACATTTAACAGAAAGAAACAATATTCTTTTTAACAGGCAGGAGTCTCCCGAGTCCTCCATGCCAACTGGTGAATGAATAAATGGATGAAGAAATGTACCAGAAACGAGGCCAGCATGTACCTGGCCAGGCAGCTCAGGGTTAGCTGTGATTTTTTTTTTTTTTTGGTAGGTTGTTGTCATTATTGGCTGCTGTTGAGTCGATTCCAACTCATAGCGACCCCATGTGACAGAGAAGAACTGCCCCATAGGGTTTCCTAGGCTGTAATCTTTACGGGAGCAGATCGCCAGGCCTTTCTCCCTTGGAGCCGCTGCGTGAGTTCAAATGGCCAACTGCTTTTAGGTTAGCAGCTGAGCACTTAACCATTGTGCCACCAGGGCTCCTTACCTACAGGCATGTTGTGCTGATCTTGTTGTGTGCTGTCGAGTCGATTTTAACTCACGTGACAGAGTAGAACTGTCCCATGGGGTTTCCCAGGCTGTAATCTTTATGGGAGCGGATCACCAGGTCTTTCTTCCCCGGAGCCGCTGGGTGGGTTCGAACAGCCAACCTTTCAGTTAGCGGCCGAGCGCTTAACTATTGTTCCCCCAGGGTTCTTTAAAGTGTGTATAACATAAGACAATACCAGGAGACTTTAAGGTATTCGATTCAAAGCAGCGTTCTTATACATGGTTTCATTCTCTTTCACAAAATGCAAAAGAACAATGAAGAGAAGATATTCAGGAACTGGGGTCACGCGGCTTGGCAAGCATGAACTCAGGATGAATAATCTCGCAATGCGTTTCATACCAGCACTATTACAAAGAGCGCGCATGGTTGTTGGGTGCTGTCAAGCCAATTCCGCCTCATAGCGGCCCCATGTGACAGAGGAGAACTGCCCCATGGGGATTTCTAGGCTGTAATCTTTAGGGGAACAGACTGCCACATCTTTCTCCCACGGAGCCGCTGGTGGGTTCGAACCGCCAGCCTTTCGGTTGGCAGTCAACTGCTTAACTGCGGCACCACCAGGGCTCCGATTTTAGTAACTCTTTCATTTTCAGAAATCCACTTACTAGAATTGGGAGACGTCCTACCAGGGTAAGCCATAAATCCGGTGTCATTATTAAACACCTACCAATTCTCAGGAGCGGAGATGGGAAATAAGGCAAATGTAATTTCCAAATGAATATGTTACAAATGCCGAGCCAGCTGTCCAGGAGATCTACTGTCGATTTTTCTTGCGTTCAATAAATCACTAGCTTTGCTCCTGAGCTTTCCACAACAGCCAGGAAAAGGCAGACTGTTTCTTTTCTTTTTTTTTTTAATTAGGCTAGCAAATGCAAAAACATTTCATGTCTGAAGTACTTGACGCTTCCAAAATTTTGATAAAACCAAAACTCGTTGCCGTCGAGCCAATTCCGACTTACAGCGACCCTACAGGACAGAGTAGAACTGCCCCCTAGGGTTTCCAAGGAGCGGCTGGTGGATTCCAACTGCCAATCTTTTGGTTAGCAGCTGAGCTCTTAACCACTGTGCCACCAGGGCTCCTCAAAACCGTAATAGCTCCCTTTAACTATAAAAAGAAAAGCACAAAGTCTAGCTTCCCATGGCTCTAGGAGGTTCCCTGTGAGGACTGAATCCCAGGTTGATTTCATAGGATTTGGGGGTGGGAGTAGGGGGTCCTGGCCAGATAGTTTTGGAAACTCTATAGGCACGTACGGTCCTCTTGGACATTAACGATACACAGTGACACATCCATGAGAAGTCTTATAGTCAGGAAGCTTATTTGCATCTCTTGACTTCGTGGTTGCTGTTAGCTGCCATTGAGTCAACTTTGCATCATGGCGACCCCATGCACGACAGAACAAAACACCGTCCAGTCCTGCGCCATCTTCGTGATCAGTTTTGGATGGGATCATTGTGGTCGTTGGGGTTTTCACTGGTTTCAGCAGAGCTTCCAGACTAAGATGGACTAGGAAGAAAGGTCAGATAACCTACTTCCAAAAATCAGCCAACAAAAACCCTATGGATCACGATGGTCCGATCCCACTGCGTGTGGGGTCGCTGTGCGTCGGGAGTCGACTCCACAGCAGCTAACAGCGACATCAGTACAAAAAATGGCCAAGCTCTCAGCAGCAGTCAAAGTTAAACACTCAAACCAACTATGCTAATGAGAAAAGTGAAATTCATCGATGAATGGAAGCAGGGTATTCCTAAATTTCTGTGGGAATCTTGCTTTCCTGAAACACTTCTGCTATGGATTGAATTGTGTCCCCCCAAAATATGTGTATCAATTTGGCTAGGCCATGATTCCCAGTATTGTGTGATTGTCCACCGTTTTGTCATCTGATGTGAATTTCCTATGTGTTGTAAATCCTACCTCTATCATGTTAATGAGGTGGGATTAGAGGCAGTTATGATAATGAGGCAGGACTCAATCTACAAGATTGGATTGTGCCTTAAGCCAATCTCTTTTGAGATATAAAAGAGAGAAGCAAGCAGAGAGATAGGGAGACATCATACCACCAAGAAAGCAATGCAGGGAGGACAGTGCGTCCTTTGGACCCAGGGTCCCTGTGCTGAGAAGCTCCTAGACCAGGGGAAGATTGATGACAAGAACCTTCCCGCAAGGCTGACGGAGAGAGAAAGCCTTCCCCTGGAGCTGGTGCCCTGAATTCAGACTTCTAGCCTCCAAAACTGTGAGAGAATAAACTTCTGTTTGTTAAAGCCATCCACTTGTGGTATTTCTGTTATAGCAGCACTAGATGACTAAGACAACTTCTCTCACACAAACATGAGCGTTTGAGTTTGTGTCAGAGTAGGGCCAGGTTACCCAATAAGCAAAAGGCCCAACAGTACACACGGGCCCGATCGTGCCTTCCCACCCATCTGCAGTGCACCATTTCACCCGTCCCCCACTACGTCAGAGACGTGGTGAAACGCACGGGAATCAGCAAGTAAATACAATTAAGCCCACGTGTACCTTGCTCAGTGCAAGCTGGTGAGTACCGTGCTTACTGGCTAATCCGTCCCTGGTCAGAGCTGACCCCCAGCTTGAGTGGTATCTCCAGAACTCACCGTTGTTGACCAGGACGTGCAGAGGAATGTTCTTTGCCTTGAAGTGCCCCACGAACTGCCAGATGGAGCTCATGGAAGCCAGGTCACAGTATAAGAATTCCACTGGAAAGCAACAGAGAAGCAAAGGCTGTACCACAGAGGCCGAGACCACTTCTCAACAACAACAACTAAAAGAAACCAAACCCACTGCCATGGGGTCGATTCCGACTCACAGGGACCCTATAGGACAGAGCGGAACTGCCTCATAGGGTTTCCAAGGAGTGCCTGGAGGATTCCAACTGCTGACCCTTTGGTTACCAGCCAAGCTCTTAACCACTGCACCACCAGGGCTCCACTTTCTAACACGTCCCCTTCCATTCTAGCTAGAGAGCAGCACTGGATTAGAAAAGTGAGAAAGACTCGATGCGGGGGACACGTCCTATGGTGACCAGACGCCTTCTCCTTGATTTGCTTGATGTCACCTGCTTCTCACTGGGTTGTGGGCGTTGTTCTTGTTAAAACAAAAAAACCCACAAACAAACATGCTGCCATCGAGTCGATTCCGACCCCAACTTGTGGCGACACCACGTGCCAGCGTAGACCCGCCCCATGGCGTTTCTGAGGCTGTGCTCTTCAGGAGAACAGAAGGCCAGGTCTGCCTCCCATGGAGCCGCTGCGCGGGTTCTAACCTCTGACCTTTCAATTAGCAGCGGAGCGCTTAAGCCTTGCACCCCCAGGGCTCCTCGTTCGTTACCTGTCATCAAACAACAATAACAAAACAAAACCCACTGCCATTGAGTCATCTAACAACAACAAAACAAAACCCATTGCCATTGAGTTGATTCCGACTCATAGCTATCCTACAGGACAGAGTAGAACTGCCCCATAGGGTTTCCAAGGAGTAGCTGGTGGATTCCAACTACAGACCTTTTGGTCAGCAGCCGAGCTCTTAACCACTGCGCCACCAAGGCTCCTCCTCTAGGGGATGTAAAATGAGAGGCAAGATGTTCCCACCCCCCAGCGTGGTGCCTCACGCCATCCTGCTAAGGGGGGAACCCCTCAGACACCTTCTAGCTCCATGATTCTTCAACAGAAACCCTCTGTACCGACAGTCTCCACGAACGCAAGCCTGTGAGTCCTTCTTTATCAAGAACTTCACGTTTCTATAAGCATGGGGCAGTCACTGACTCGTGATGGACTGACACAGCAGCCAAATCAATGGGCTCAATCACACCAACCATCATGAAGATGGCGCAGGACGGGCAATGTCTCCTTCTGTTACACACAAGGTCGTCAGGAGCGGGAGCCAATTCTACCAACTCGGCAGCTAACAATACCAACAGTCACTTCCCCAGGTCAAGTCAGAGATAGACATTTCTGGAACAAACACTGACTGGGAGATGGGAGGTAATGTCTCGACTAAGATGTGAGTTTTGGCTGTAAAATAGAATTCATTGGCTTGGATGCTCTGGGCGATTTCCCGGCTTGGAGGACTTTAACTACTGGCTGTTCCCCTCTTTGGAAACCCTGGTGGGACAATGGTTAAGAGCTACGGCTGCTGTTGGCAGTCTGAATCCACCAGGCGCTCCTTGGAAACCCTATGGGGATGTTCCACTCTGTGCTATAGGGTCACTATGAGTCGGAATGGACTCAACAGCAACGGGTTTGGTTTGGTTTTTTTGCTCCTTTCTTTACGACATACACACAATATGCGAGATGGTAAACTACATCCATGGAGAGACTTTTTTTTACTGTACTTTAGATGAAGATTTACAGAACAAACTAGTTTCTCATTAAACAGTTAGTACACATCTTGTTTTATGACATTGGTTAACAACCCCATGACATGTCAGTACTCTCAATGGAGAGACTTTTGATGGAGAACGCTAGGTTGCTGTTTAACAATCTCCAAATCCGCTTGTTTTCACAGCAGCTCAGAGGCTGCAACTCTCTGGGAGGCAGCATGGCGGCAGGAAGAATCACCTGTTTTGACACTGACAAGCTTGTGATCTCAGGTTACCTATACTCCCCAACTTTCAGTTCCTTCTTCATTGGTTTAACCAACCAGTTGCCATTGAGTTGACCCCCAACTCATGGGGACTCCATGGACAACTCAACGAAATACTGCCCAGTCCTGCACCATCCCCACGACTGGTTATGGATTGGACCATTGTGATTCATAGGGTTTTCATCAGCTCTTTTTCAGAAGTCATTCACCAGGCCTTTCTTCCTAGTCCCTCTTAGTCTGGAAACTCTTCTGAAATCTGTTCAGCATCACAGCAACACACAAGCCACCACTGACAGATGGGCAGTGGCTGCGCATGAGGTGCATTGGCCAGGAATCGAACCCGGCTCTCCCTCCTGGAAGGAGAGAATTCTACCACTGAACCACCACAGCCCCTACTTGGGAAGGGGGGGTATGTATTTTGGAATGTTTTAACATTTACTTGGAAGGGGCATTTTAGGATAATTTACTCTCCTCAGCTTCTTCAAGAGCCCTGGTGGTAAAGTGGTTAAGAGCCGAGGTTGCTAACCAAAAGGTCAGCAGTTCGAATCCACCAGCTGCTCCTTGGAAACCCTATAGGGCAGTTCGACTCTGTCCCATAGGGTTGCTGTAAGTCGGAATCGACTAGATGGCAATGGGCAACTTCTTCAGGGAGGAGATTGGAGCCTCAGGCCACACGGCCATAGAGAAGAAGGAACTGCGCATTTTCAGTACTTGCCATGAAAATTATGATGTGGGGAGGGCTCTTGTATCAATGCCCTTTAAGCGTGGGCTACAGATGGGAGCATTCCATTAATTTTTTGTAACTCGTCTGCAGTGAGATACACTCAGAAATTGAGAGTAGGTATTTAGGCTTAAAAAAAAATTTTTGACAGAGAACTTGTATGTCTGTTGAATCCAATGATTTGAAAAAAAAGAGGGACTCTCTATCTGAGATACAACTACTGGTCTCTACTCATCCGGAGCAAAAGACAAAGAAGGAAACCCAAAGACTCAAAGAAGAAACTAGTCCACAGGACTAATAGTCTACATCAGCCTCATCTACCCTGAGACCAGAAGAAACAAGATGGTGCCCGGCTACCACTACTGACCCTTCTGATCAGGAACACAGTAGGTGGGCCTTGATAGAAAGGGAGAAAAATGTGAAACAGAACTCAAATTGCTAAATAACAAAAACAAAAACCAGACCTGTTGGACTGGTTGAGACTGGAGGACTCCCCGAGACTATTGCCCTAAGATGCTTTTCAAACCTTAAACCAAAACTAATCCCTGAGGTCGCCTTGTAGCTAAACAACAAATTGGCTCAACAAATAATGAACACCACCCATGAGTACTGTGCTCCTTTAAAAAAAAAATCATCTACAAGAGACCAAATGGTCAACAATGACTTTAAAACAAAGATGAGAAGGTAAGGGTGCAGGGAAACGAGATGAATGGAAACAGAACAACCAGAATGGAAATAATGAGAATGTTCACACATTGTGAAGAACGTAACCAATGTCACTGAACAACTTGTGTAGAAACTGTTGAATGGGAGCCTCAACTGCTGTGTAAACCTTCGTTGAAAACACAATAAAATATTATTTTTTTAAAAAAATAGGGGCTTTTATTTTGCATGCTTTTTAAATTTATTTTTCCGAGAATTCGTTTTTATTGTATTTACGAAAGCAACGGTCTGTGACAGATGGAGGAGAAGGGAATGGGGCCAGGGAGAATTCGGAGGGGTGTTCTAGAACGCAGTGCCGTCTGTCTGGGATCCCTGACACGCTGTCCTAATTCTCCCTCAAAGACCCACGAGGGCATGGAAAATAAGAGGAAATCCCACATGACTGCCAGTAACTAGAACGGACTGTGGTAGAGTTGGTGGGTGTGTTTATGTTCAGCTTTCAGAAACAGAACACGTTACTGGTTTAAGAAAAGATGTCAGAAGATGTTTCTTTCCTGCTCCTTGTGGGAAACGCAAGCTCAGAAGGAACCAGAAGTGTGGCCACCGTCACCGTACAGGGGACTTCTGCTTTGAGAGACGAACCACGGGTTTTTCTCATCTTTTTTTTCTGCCCACACCCCCTCACCAGCCTCTGCTTCCCCATCCATTCAGGAGCTGCCCTCTCTTCATTCCAGTGCACTCTGGAGCTGCTGGAATTCGCCCAGAGGGAGAGAGCTATCTCTCTCTCCCCATCATATTTTCATGCATTTCTTGATTTAAAAAAAATAAAAGGCAAAACACTGGCCCATCTGAGCTGCTAGGAACCTACTGGGCAGCTCCATCGTCTGACGCAGATATGAGCTTGCCCCTAAAGCCAGCTATGGAAGGGGATCAAGCAAACAAACCCGCTGTCGTCAAGTGGATTCCAACTGATAGGGACCCGACAGGACAAAGTAGGACTGCCCCCACGGGGTTTCCAAGGAGTGGCTGGTGGATTCGAACTGCCAACCTTTTGGTTAGCAGCCGAGCTCTTAACCACTGTGCCAGGGGGATTATTTCGTGTGTGTGTGCACACATGTGTGTCTGGGGTGGAATAAAGAGCGAGACAGAAAGGGAGGCAGAGGGAGAAAAACAGGGAAGGAGAGACAGAAAGACGGAGAGACACAGAGATGGAAATATAGAGAGAGAGGGACAGACAGAGAGAGGGACCACCAGAGAGAGGGACAAAGAGAGACACAGAGAAGCTAGAAAGAGAGGGCAGGAGAGGGAGAGACAGAAAGAAACACACAGAGAGACAAAGAGGGAGAGAGAGGCAGAGAGACAGAGACAGAGAGACACAGAGACAGAGAAGTGGGGGCAGGGAAGGAGGGAGACAGAGAGAGTAAGGGAGACAGAGCTGGAGCGCCATCCACCCATCTGGCCTGGAGGGACGAAATCCAACCTCAGGGTGAAGATCTTGGCGTGAACATTTCTCTGTTGCGGACGAGCACCTATGTGCGCCTGGATGTGCGACACACACTCTGCAGCGTCTCTGGCCTGCGAGGCGTCCTCGGCCACCCCGTCTTCAGGCCAGCTCTGTGCGGGGACCCACAGATGCCGCTGGAATGGCTCCCGCCTCTAAAACTCCGTGGAGCAGCTCCCTAAAGCCCCACTCCCCAAGTGCTGGCCGTAACAGTAGGCGGGGTTTCTCAC